TGAAATTTACAACATTAGCAATGAGCACAATTTACAACATAAGTGTACCGCAGTTTAGTTTAAAGTCACAGCCAACATTATTATCTCCATACCATAGTGCCCATAAAAGAAAACTGAAGTAAAAAAAAAATTTAACGCCTTTCGCCGAATATCATAAACAATTCCACAGCTTTGCAGGAAGGTCCGATTACCAATTAGACACATCGGACAAATGTTTCTGCCGAGACCTTTTGACACTAACTAGCGTAGAAGACTACTGGGTTACACACCCAATGGACTCCATTTCATCCGTACTTTTTTTTTGCTATAAAACAAACGGTTTCCTTTTCTGCTTTTGCTGCCACCTACATGTATGTGCGGTGTTCTTTTCAAAGGTTAAGTTTCTCTTGACAGGGGTCAAGTAGGATTTTTGAGGTTGAGCATGATCGTGGTCGGGGTGCCGTGAAGAAATGTAGGGTGAAGAAATGTAGGGTAAAGAACACGTCCCAGTGATCATGTCCAGGGACCGATCTCATAACTCTGCTTATTTACTTTAACTTGTAAGCCAAAAATCCCTGCTAAGTATAGTAGAAAATGATGTGCTAACAGTAAGCATATTACACAGATTTGCAAAGGATTGGAACTAGATCCCTCAAATGACAGTCCGGTGCGTACAGAGTTAGTCCAGAATGTCTGCCACAATTTCTGCCTCAATTTTGCCTCGGTGACCAATTTTCTTTAAAAAAGATCTTTATTTCATCATTTACAAATGTTTGTAAAAATGAATGTGTCTTTACAAAAAAAATTTAAAAAGGTAAATTTCTAGGAATGAAAGGGGTGGAAAAAGCAGATCAGAAGAACTTTTTTGGTCTGTAAGTTCTTGAAAATCTATTCCTTTATTAGTCATTTGTATACCTTTTTGTTCTTCCTCCCCACAAAAACAAAAGGCAACTAAAAAAAAAAGTGTGCACAATACTTGTAGATCTCAACCTGACTTGAACCACTGATGACATTTTATAAACCGAGTTTAAAAAAGTGCAAAGACTGTGGGTGTATAGATGTTGCCACCCTGACCCGCTTTGGGTACTACATCATCAGTCAAAACAATCATGCTGAAAACTTCCAAAGCGTTCCACGCATAGCTCTTGATCAAACCAATTTAGCAATGTCGACAGATGGACAAAGCCATAGGGATATTAGGTCAAGTACATGTAAGGTACCCTGCCCAAGGACAACAACCCACACAACCACACATCGAACAGCTTGAAAATAACCCTGTCCCCGACCAGAAAAAAAACCCTCAAAGTCAACGGAAGTGCCATTTATTCCCTGTAACTCAAATTTGTACTAGTTAACGTAATAAGTATACTGCAATCAATCTGAGTATAGATTCACATCTGCACTTTTTACCTGATTAAATGATTTTCACAGTGAAGCACTGCACTTCTTTTACGAACAGGGCAAGTTCAACAAAGTACTTTCCACCACTGATTAGAAAAACAGAGAGAACCATACTGTACTCCACACTGTACAAAGTAAGTGCCTGTAAGCAACAATTTCTAGAATTTAGTCCAACAGGTGCTGAGTACTCAATGAATTCCCCGAAGGAGGCAGATTTTGTGACATTTTCCCCAAAGTTTATGCAGCAAACTTTTGTTCATAATTTTTGTTGAAGCACATGTATTGGTACATGTACATGTACATGTACAAATACATGTACAAGTGGTTTCTATGTCAGAAATGTCATCATCTTAATTTATTTGTATACAAGTACAATGTAGCTTGTGACTTGCCTTACATGGAGGACTAGAATCAAATATTCTGCCTTCAGGACTAACACGGCTGCTAAAAGGAGTGGAGGACTTGTGATTCACTGATCATGTAGTTGCGAGGACTTGTGATGTGTCTGCTACAACATTTCACTTCGACACTTGTGGACTGAGGTACATGCACTGTAACTGTACTCTTGGTGTGTCCATAGAAGCCTAGCCTGTGATAACCCTTCAAATGTGCGCAGTGAGGTATCACTATCAGTGACCGAATCTGACCGATCCGATCTGATCTGATATTTTGTCACACCCTGAACATACTCAATGCCAGTCAAACACGGGTATCGATGATCAACTCGGCTGAACAAAAAGTGCAAGTTTTCCGCATAATTGCCATCACGTGAATTATCAAAGTATCGACGCTGCTGCATGATCAGCGAATGAAAGTGAAAGAAAAACACTCTGCTGTGCCAACTGTCAAGTAGAGTAGACTTTTAACCGAATGTGTTTAGATTTGTTTAAGGGACAGCTCAAAAACACAATCTCAAAAGAAGCCATTTCCCGTTAGTTAGCTAAACAATGGACTGGTTAGTGATTTTCCAGATGTGGTGACACGTAAACTGAATTCAACATGCATCTAACATTATACACGAACATGAACACAAACATTTCAAGTTATACAAGTCAAGTCGGTAACATTTTAAAAGAAAGAAAGATTTCTTCTTTTTTCCCCAAATTTGTCTATAAATGACATAGGCCTACCGATACATGTTATCTGTCAATATTTCAATATAATTACATCTACAGACATGTATGCCATAAAATGAACAAAATTTCATAAAGTGTTTCAGTAAATGAATTAAGAAGTAGCCACATCATGACCAATGAGTGGAAAACTGACTGAAAACAGGAACGTAATTTATAGATTTTGATAAAAAAAATTCTATATCAAGCTTAAATGCTAAGTTGATCTATCCAGAACAGAAACCACACATCCTTGGACTTAGCTGCCCTTCCTTCCTAGCGACACTGTCCAGTACCTCACAAGGACAGTGCGATGACAGTGAACTGACAATGACCTTAGTGACAAATACATCACCAGTGACAAAAACCAAGGATTCTTGGGTTCAAGAGCTGTCAACAACATTTGGTCAAGTTCTGGGTTAGGGTGAACAAATTTGACACTATATGATAATGATGGGCAAGTTTAGCCTTAAAGGGAATATACAACATTTGCAAACATCGAAAAATAAAACTACCAAGTTTTTACGAAATACTTTACTAGGATGTTGGTAAATGACAGTCTCAAGCATACTGTAAAATTATGGCACCTGGTGTGAAGTCATTTTTCAAGAAAATGGTATTTTTGTATACATTTCCAACAGTGGTCGGCCGACCACCGTTGGAAAAACCTAACTATTTTTCAACTACTGCTCCAACTTAACACTTTTTTCAGTCCAAATTTTGTTTGCTATTGGTTACATGTTCATGAACGGGTGCAGGCCAGCTAGACTGGTTCCCTTACCTTACAATTTTCCGGCATCTATAAATTGATCTATTTTATCTTTAGTGGAGTCAAGGAACCAGACTACTTGAACATTTTTGTTTTTCTTGGTTTTCCAGCATTTTGGAACACAAAACTTCAAAAATGTCAGTGTAACAATATTTGATCTATATATACTAACCCCTCAAATAGTTCATTTCTGAAAAATACATCAAAAACCAATGATGTACATTCCCTTTAAACTTTAAAGGTAATGTTGTAAATTTGCTTCAGCTGTAATTGTCAGAAGTGGATGGACTTGGGGGGTTAGTATTTTATAGCAAATTTATATTGTAACAGTTTTTATTTCGTGTTTCTAGATGCTGGAGAAACAAAAACCAAGAAAAAAACCCTGCAGTTCTTGTAGTCTGGTTCCCTGACCTAGGCCTACTTCAGATGAAACGGAGCAATATATAGACGTCAAAGATAGTCAGGTCAGGGAACCAGACTAGCTGGCTTGCACCCAGTTCTAGGATGTGTTACCGATTGCAAACAAAATGTGGAATAACTAAATTTGGTAAAATTGGGGGCAGTATTTGAAAACGTCAGGGTTTTTTCCAACGCTTGTCAGCCGACCATCTTTGGAAATTGATACAAAAATTCCACGTTTCTTGAAAATGACAGCACACCAGGTACCATGATTTCACAGGATGCTAGAGACTATTTCATAACAAAGGTAGTTTTGTTTTTTCGACATTGGCAAATGTTGTACAATGTACGTATACATGTATGAATAGTACCGGTACATGTACCTTTAAAAATTAATGGCCTACTCTCTAATTTCCAAAGAGCAAAACTAGGGACCAGACCTTTTAGGCCATGTTCGAAACGAGCTTCCAGATCCCTCAAATGACAGTCCATTTTCAATGGATGCAGACCTAGATCTAGCTCTAGACAGCTGATTCGCATGCAGCTCAGAGTGAAAATCAATGCAATTCCAGATTGAAATACTCTGACAAAAAGAACCAATCCAATGAAAGTTGGTGTAAAAACTCGATCTATTCGATTGAATGAATTTCACTGTAAAAAGTCTGGTCGTTAGTTTCAGTCGGTGGGAATGAACTTTCACTCAAATAGAGTATATTTTCACTCTTTGAAAACTAGAGAGAATGTTGCTCATGAGTGCATGGAAACAAACCTATATGTAGATCTGAAACTAAAAGATAATATCCAGCCGGGAAACTTGTTTTTACTTCCCCTGTTTGATATTTGTTTTTGGCCATTGGCTTCTTGGATTCAGTAGATGGCTTTGTACTGGTAAGTTCTATAAATTTGGGTCCACATTTTTCCTGTCCCTGTTGCATCTACATTTTGTATGAGTTTATAATTCTGATGTACTCCTGAGTGCAGCCAACCTCCAAGAGGGATTATGAATAACAAACTACAATGTACATGTACCGACCCAACAAACAAAACATCATTTGAAGTCATTCAAAGGTAACAGACTTTACTTTACTTTTAGTTCTTACTTACTTTCAGTTCTTTTAAGCACAATTATGTTTTGCAGGACTGTTATGTATGTATTAATTAGGGAAAGAGATCTCGTAGAAGCCTTAGCTTTTGCCTGGTATAGATTCACCATCTTTTGTGCATGTAAATGTCCTTTTAATATGACATTTCAAGTGTTGTTTTCACTGTAATGCAGAGAAAAACAAACAAACAAACAAACAGAACAATATACATACATGTAAGTTTCAATTTTTGCCTACCTTGGATAAATCGATGAGTAATCTCAGTACTGTAATTACTCGTACACAGCGGAAATTCCCAGTCAAAAACTCGTCAGAACTTTCGAGACAAGGTTGAGTATATCTATCTGCCGTTAATCCTGAAAAAACAACAACAATAAAAATACATCTGTAATCACAAATTAGTCAACATATCCACAATAACTTTTTTTAATGATCTCTAAGAAAATAACTCTCGGTGAAAGAAGTCAATGCACACGAAGACAACATAATAATGAAAGGATTGAGTCATTTAAGAGAGTTATTGCGGCGTGTTTGGCCGAGCACATCCCTTGAAAACAAATCCTTGAAGTACAGTACAATGTCCATGTCCAGTTATGCGGCCTTCCTCTGTTGATTATTCAATTCACGTCAAGGCTTACCGGAAGGGGAAGAAGTCGGCCATCTTGTCTTCTATGCAGGAGAATTTTTCTAACCAACAGCCCACAACAATTAAAAAATTTGTTTTGACATGCCTGAAGACATCCGTTCACAAGGCCAGACTCCTCATTACATGTACATGATATTTTTATTACGTGTATCTTCATTTCAGACTGGAGGCACATCTGTAAAGTTAACGGCTTTTAAGTACAAGAAGAGGATGTACGGTATAGTCAGCAAGCAACCGGGAAGTCACAAAAAAGCTTTAAAAAAAAAATCTTTCCAAGACTTTGTACCGTGTTTTTCTATTTTCAATGGCACACATGGAAGTACAAAAAGAGGAAATCAGCTGATCCGAGGAAAAGTTGCATGCCTGTATAGTCATTGTTGTGTTTGGTTTGATTTTTTTGTTTGTTTAAATTGTTTGTTTTTTAAGTGAAAATCCACAGGCTTGTGGCCACCTGATGATGTAGCAGCTGAAACAAGAAAAAGAAATGTCCGCAACTTTAGGGTAAAAATTCCTTTTTTACCCTTTCAAAAATCTAGAAAAAAAATAGCCAAACAACATTTTCGAGTCGAAAATACCGGTACAGCGATTGATAAAAACCGTAGGTGTACAGGCCCTGTAGTAAAAAAAAAAAAAACAAGAAAAAGCCTAACTTGCATACGTGTACATGTACTTATCGTAGTCACTATATATAGGAAACAATAATTTTCTCTCAAAATGATTCAATTTTAATTTAAAAAAACTTTTTTAAATACAGAGTTGTTTTGAGAGTTCACATAAATTTACATTCATCCAGCTATTAAGTGTGTTGTTAAATACATTGTACAAGTCACATCCCAGGCCCACCTACAGTGGTTACACCTCTATGTTCCGACACCCCTATGTTCCGACTGCACATATTCCTATTCCTATTCCTAACCCTAACCCTAACCCTAACCGGGAGTAACACAATCTAGGTTGTCGGAACATAGGGGTGTCGGAACATAGAGCAGTCACCCCTACAGTACTTACATGTACATGTATGCATGTACACAATTTATCAGTTTCCATCATGACAGAATAGATGTATCTACAACAGTGTTTGACCTCTTCTGTCCTCCTCTGATATTCCTTCCGGACCAAAGTTTCCTCTCGTTCTAACCTGAGCAACCTTGGCTCCTCACACCGACTTTATATTGACCGTCGCTCTAACTACACGTAGGAAGACCAATCTCCTGTTATGCAGGACATCCAGCTCCAACAACATTTTCCAAAGGAAACGTGTAGTTGGTGTTAATTGTCATTTATGGGGGGATTTTTGTGAAAAACACAAAAGGATGTGGGTTTTCTTGGGACTAATATTCGAACTATTAAATTAAACAATAATGACGCACAAATGTATGACTCAAACACGTACATTTGACACATACGTACAAGTACGTGCATGGACGTGCGTGTCGTTTTATTTAAAATGCAAAGTGTGACATTTTTCCCGTCCCTGTTGTGGTAAACCTCAAAACTTTGTCATTTGCCATTCAAGTGTCATTAAAAATGACTTCAAATTATTCTTTATTAGATGAGTACATTTCCGTTGTTTGCTTCATATTTTCAGAATTATAAAATAATGAATATCCACCATTACAAAATCATAGATGTCAGATGTGACAGAGACAGGGGAAAACAGTGGACCCAAATTCATAGAATGACAAACGTACAAGTTTGTGTACAGTGACTGTTATGGACGTTAGCGGAAGATTGTAATTTTACAAAAGCATGTCTGAAGTCGAAGCAAAGCAAACGTCAGTAGATTAAATTTGGTAGATTGAAAGATATAAGGCCACAAAAAAAATATAATTCTGCTTCCGGTTTCCCTACCTACCCTATTCTGACAGCCCCTATATGTACCTAATTTTTTTATGGGAAAAGTGAGAAAAAAACACCCAAAACCACCAATTACTGCCTTTTACCCTCGCCTACACGCAGACGCCTCCATATGATTGTACACAAAAAAGTGCCAGAAAAAATTAAAACTCCCTACCTACCTACCCTATTTTCGAAAGCCATGTATTTGGAAGCAGAAGTGTTTTTTTTTTGGCCTAAGGTGTGCAACAAACATTATATGGTGACAAGATGTATGCAATTTCCCATTTTTCATTTCAAAGGTTCGTAGTCACTCTGACACTATTATTCAATTTCAATCATGTCTACTGCAATGTGGTGAACATTCAGGTGACACTGTTAACAGCCATGGTCGTTCAAGCTTCATCATAAATCACATGAAACTGAAACATTCTCAGACAGAGAATGTGTACGATTTACTGCACATGATACAGTAAAACAGGCTACTGCAAAAAGTCAGTTGTTTGCTTCAGTGACAAGCGTACCGGTACGTATATAATACCGCTGGGCGAGTAACTCAATTACTCGAGTACACGCGACGAGTAGTTTATGCTACTCATTGTTCTTCTACTCATGGTTTTGCATCTACTCGAGTACTCGTCCTGGCGCGAGTAGCAAGTTCCAGTTGAGGGTTCACGGCTTAATTATTATGTCCCTACAAACAGGGAAATCACTCCCTCCACCTCTCTCTCCCTAGGATTCCATTTGTCAATACAAAAATTTCAAGTAAATGACAAAGCATTGCACAGTAAGGATATCTTAAGTGCTGACGAATGTGGCGTGACTTGCACACTATTTGCTGGTAGTTACTTCCCGTCATACTAACGTTTATGTCATTTTTCTGCTTTTCGGTTAACTACTCGCGAGTACTCGACTACTCACGAGAAATTTCTTTGTGAGTACTTGAGTAGAAAAATCCACTCCTCGCCCAGGTCTAGTATCTAACTCTAAGGGACTGATACTACAAATACATCAAGAAAGACATCCATAAAAACTAGGGCAATGTTTTTTATGGGTATTTTGGGTGGAAATCTCCAAAGGTTCATAAAATTCTTGAAGGTTAGGTAAACAAACTGTAGATGTTGCTGTAGGAAACTTAAATTAGGCTTAAAACAAATGTGACCTACACATCATAAATGTCAATCTGTTTATAGTAAACAGAAAACAGAACAAGAAAACTGTTTGTGTATGCCTCTAGTTAACCTGTTTTTTTTATCAAACGATCAAGTCACCTGAAGTTCAAATTGGCCAATATGTCTACGGAACAAATTTTGTCGCAGTATAATACTTAGTGGCACTATAGTGTGCACATGGACAAAGCCCTAGGGAAATTCTATTCCCGTTGCTAATTCCAAGGAAACAAAAACCAGTTCCTAGTTGAAACTGCAAAAGAATGGCGACACAAATTCCAGCATAACATGTACAGGTATTAACTGTTCAAAACAAAAATAATCAATGGTAAAAAGTTCAGTTTCGGAAAGTTAAAACTGGCTCCATTTGTTTTCAGTGCACGTTGTGCACTGGAAAGAGCTATAGAGAAGAAAGGTGAACACACACTGGCACAGGAACGCAGTAGGAATGCCGAGCATTTGCTCGGGGTTTCATATTTCAGGCTCTACCTGGGGCGAGAGGCCTGACTCCTGGGTTTAGAGAGGTTGAAGATCAGAGGGGAGGGCAGACAAGTTGGGTCGGCAACCTGCTGGGGTATGACGAAGACTGGTCGGGGCCTACGTGGGTAAAAGCAGGGGTGGCTGGCGGCGCGAGCTGCTTCGGTTTGAAACAAGAAATCCTCCTCAAATCATAAACAAACAAGAGGTTGCCATTGTACTTTGGATGGAATGTTTTGCATTGGCGAGATCGTAAATTTGTTTAAGTAGTTTTTTTTTTAAATAGAGATGGAACTTGATGAGCACTGTACACTCAGTCCGAGCTTAGCTCAAAATGGGATTGGGAGAAAGGATAAAAATGACAAGCAAAACCTGACCCAAGGGCAAGATGACCAGACTCCGCACTAAAGACAAACAACCAAGTGAACACACAGACGAACAAATGAATGAATGAACCAACGAACAAACCAGTGAACACAGATTTGTCCTTTGAAAAATTATAGGGTAAAATAACAAGTAACGGCAGCCTTTTTGACACTTTTAAAAAATTGGTTGTTATTCTACCTAGATTTTTTCAAAGGAGAAATCTGTGCTGGCCCTTATCTTTCTTAAGAAACACTATGACTGTGTGCCGAATGCCATGCTTGTATCATCGAAGGCACAATTCCTCCAAATGTCTCCCCTATCTACCCCACTACACATAATGTAGGAAAATACCACATCCAAAACTATAAAACAATGAAGATAATCATAATTTACAGAAACACAAATACCTTGGGTATTCAATGTCTGAGAAATTTCAAAGAATGATGGAAGTTTTTTCATCTCAATGATACAGATGATATCAAAAGCATATCGCTATATCATAATAAAACCACATTCCTCGGATGTTTTACTCTTTCAAAGAAACACGGCAAAATTAAGACTGTACTTTTATGATCATACCCATTGTGTTTTAGTTTTGTTTCCTTGGAATTTGAGATACCACAAAGTATGAACGGGTATTTTTTGGGGGTATCTGGTGACATTTCTGCATCTCATTTCCTTTCCAGCTTTCCCAGAAAACAAAATGTACGAAACAGTGATTTACGTTTAAGCATACAATTCATGAATGCATGATATATTTTCTAAGCATGCTTAGTTTAATGTAACTCTAGCAAAACCTCCATGTTCAGTTGTTGAAAAAAAAATTAACAGACACTTTTCAACGCCAAAGAAACGGAACAAA